CCTGTGAGTAGTATATGGCTAGCTTGTTGGGGACTGAAGCGCACCTGCACAGAATTTTTGTTTCTTATTACTTTTTATGTGGTATGTCGTCTTAGGTTATGGGGTTCAACATAACAAGTTTCATATAAAAAGCCTCTTAGGAACTTCTTAATAATTAAAAACTTAATTTTTTATATTAAAAATTTCAAATTCAAAATTTGGAATGGGTGAGAGGGGTTTGAAAAAAAAAAAGATTATTTTCTATTATATACTCCATCATTTGATATATATATATATATAAAACTTCATAAGGTTGAACACTATATGGGTTATCATCATACTACCAAACTCCTTTTTCTTTTTATTTATTGGTCAATATTTTCTAATTGTATTATATAAAAAAAGTTTGATGTAATTCAGACTGTATTAAACTGTGTTGAATTGCACGATACATACCATTAGATAGAGGTGTGTTTTCTTCAAAATCCTCTCTTCTTGGCCACTTGTGGCAAAAAGTGCTCAAGTCACTTATTTTGCTCAAACACTACAAGCAAAATGCCTTTTACCAACAGAAGTCTATAGTAACAGCTTAAAATTCATCTGTATAAATCATATATACTAACGGAAAACATAAGCAATCAGTATACATTGGTCTATACCAACGAAAAAAATATATCCATTAGTATAGATTGGGTTTATACTAACAGTTTACCACTTATCCGTCTGTCTAAAGTATATATCTCCTAACGATAATCATTATCCGTTTGTATTATATCTATTTATACAGACGGATTAGCCTATTCTGTCTGTATAATTCCCTGTTTCTTAAAGACAATTTTTTCCTCTTTTATTTTAGCCGTCTGTATACATTTTCCTTTCCCTCCACATATTCCCAATTTTCCCTCCCCAAATTCTGAGTTTCCCTCCCCGGTAAGCCTAAGTATTTCTGTCCCTCTCCCAAATTTCCAAAATTTGGAATTTATTTTGCTAAAACTCAAAAACCCATTCAGTCCTAACTACAAAATTCAAAAGCCCGACTCTAATCCTCCCCAAATTCTGAGTTTCCCTCCTCGATAGGCTTAAGTATTTCCATCCCTCTCCCAAATCTCCAAAATTTGGAATCGATTTTGCTAAAACTCAAAAACCCATTCGAACCTAATGCAAAATTCAGAAGCTCGACTCTAATCCATGAACGACAGGAGGTCAGTAGGTGAGTTTGTGTTGATTTTGGGTGATTTCTTCCTAATCCTCTTCATTTCTTCTATATTCATGGGTTGATTTCGCTCAAGAGACAAGTATTTGGCTTGATTTCATCCTTTTGCTACCTTTCAATTTCCTCGAATTACACTTTCTAAACTGAGTTTCTCATCTACTCTTTCCCTATATCAGAATCGAGTACAACTTTAGGGTTTTTGAGATTTGTAAATGTATTTTTGATTTTATGCGAAGCTCTGGGTTCACCTATAATTTTGATTTGATTTGATGTATTGGAGGTTACCGGCGGAGAATAGGCGGTGGCATGCTGCTTGGCTGAGTGAAAAGGAGGCTTCTGTTGAGGATCCGGTGGCAGAGAGGCAGTGGCACTACTGAGGGAAGAAGAAGGTTAGTCAATACCTAATACTCCTTTGATTCTTCTTTTTCTTTCTTTCTTTCCGATTACAGTTTCTTTCTTTTATGCTATTGATTACAGTTTGGGTTAGATCTGATTTGTATCTGTAATATTTGTTACTTTAATTCTGATTGCAATGGGTTTTAGATTTCATTTTTAATTTTGTTATCTATAAGTTTTTGTGTTTGATCTTTGATTATTCATTTGGTTGTTACCTGTTTACCTTTATTGTTTGTTGCTGGTGTTTTTCTGGTATATTCTAAATTAGTGATAATGAATAAGATATTAAGATTGTGAAGTGTTCTTGAGAAAAATTCATTAGATATTAAGTTACAGTAATAGCAATGACAATATTTATATGCACCAGGATGAAAATTGATATTGTCCATGCAAACTACTACATGAATTCCTTGTTTTATGGTCTTTTAAGACTTACATGCAATGGGATTGCAGAGTTCTCATTAACTGTCTCTAGACTTGTGGTATTTTACTAGCAAAGAGATTTCTACTTCTATCCAATGTAGGCTTATTCAATTCCAGCAGCTATTTTAAAGATTCCTTTTTCATTTCTGGATGCTTTTCTTTGGACGGTTCTTACATATTATGTGATTGGTTATAGTCCTGAACTAGAAAGGTTTGTTTTCTGAAGAGAAATATTTTTTTCCAAGTATGGATAAATATATTTTATCCTTTCTAAGTCTCAGTACTCCTTTCAGGTTTCTTCAACAACTCATAACCCTTTTCCTCCTTCATCAAGTCATGATATCACTTTTCCATCTAATTGTTTTCATTGTTCAAGATCCCACTATTGGATCAAGCTTTGCCTATTTATTTTATCAGTGATCTTTTTATTTGGCAGTTTTGTGATTCCACTATGTAAGTCTTTTTATGACCTACACACCAAAAGATTTAATGCACTCAAATTAACATATTAAGCTGTTCTTCACTGTAGCTTCAGTACCTATTTGGCTGAAATGGGGCTTTTGGATTTCCCCATTAGCATATGCTAAAATAGGTATAATAGTGAATGAATTTCTAGTTCTAAGGTGGCAAAAGGTGAAACGCAAAACTAGTAGTGTTGTTGGTGAATAGAAACTGTAGCAAATGAATTTCTAGCTTCATGTTTAGCCATCATTGTCACTTGTAGGTCTCATCAAATGAGACGTTAGTGTATTTAATTTTGAGAAAAATTGGGTTAAACTTCAAGGAATACTACTATTGGATATCAGTTGTAGCTTTAATAGGATTCTGCATGATTTTTAACATTGCATTCATCATTGCATTGAGATATTTAAAGCGTAAGTTTTGGTGACATGTGCATATAAACTAATACTAGCAAGAAAATTGTAAACAACTTGAAGTTATGAGATCTAGTATTCAATGCTAACCTGTCAATATTGACAAATTAATTTGAGCTGCTTCAGGTATTAGTTGAGTTTTGAAATTGCATGAATGATGAAACATTATATTTCCAGTCATCCAAACTCTCATACATGTGCTTTTTCTTTTGTTTATACATTTATACATGTACTTTATACACATATACCTGTCAGTTCAACTCATTTCCTAGTGTAAAAAGAAATTCAAAATCAACTACTGCCTTCCTACAATTTGTAATGCAAAATTCAAGATCAGTCATTGAAACGTAGATTAACACAAAGCATGCCGCACATGATCAACCAGAGCAAATACAATTTAGGAGAAATCCATGTCTTGCAACTACTTAACCACGATAAGTAAGTACAAGTTCAACTTGAATTAGGAAGCAGCACCAAGTAACACACATCCAGCCAGTGCTCAACCACAACAAGAAAACAAAGTTCAGGATAGAGAGGAAAGCAGGACTTAACTACAACCGCCACTAGAATGGCCAGCAGGACTTAATATTAATTGTATTTGTTATTATTTTATTTTATTTTTGTTCTATAATACAATATAACTTAATTAACTTAATTAAAAAATAATACAACTCTACATCATCTCTTATACAAATAAAAGCTCTATTTTTAAAACTCTCTTTCTTCGTGAACGGCAATAGTTCTGGTTTACATGTTTTAACTGTGTATTATAATATTAATTCTATTAGATATCATTTTATTATTTATTATGTTAAAATATTTTATAATTATATTTTTTATATAATTAATAAATAAATTAAATATAATTATTATTTATCCATTGGGGACTTGAACACAAGATTTGTGCAAGAAGTTTCTAATAAATAAATTAAATATATATAATTAATCTAATAAAATTAACCTACACAATCTATGTTCAATATTGAAGCACAGCAATAGTCCACGTGCCTTTTCTTCCAAAGCTGGTTAAAGATATGGTAGATCACTGCAGTCTTTTTCTTTACACAAAATGAGTCCTTTCATATGGATATGGCACCACACCACACCACACCACACCAAGACAAAGCTATTCGGTAATTCCTCCTTCGATTATCAAAATTAAAAGGTTCCCTAATCCAAATAAATTGTACGAAAAAAAGTTTTATAATTTAAAATAATTTAAATTATAAAATATTAATTATTTATTAAAAGGAACATTCTTTAATATTAAAAAAAATTTTATTTGTCGATTTGCTTGAACAAGCTTAATCATAAGCCATCCTGATCTGTT